GGACCTCTTGCAATTCGCCCGTGGCTGACCCGAAGGCATTCTAATAAGGGGAGAGAAATACCTTACCCAAGTAGCACAGCAACGTCGTAACGACATTGCAAACTCGTCACGGATGTCGTTGCAAAAACGTTGCAATATGTCATGTTTAAAACGCCCAGATGTCCGCGAACATCCACTGTTTTGCAAACGTTGCAAAGGCGTCTTTATTACGTCTTTGCAGATGAGGTTTTTGTCGAACTGACGTCGTTATTGCGTCTTTCGCAGGTGATATTTTAGTTGTGAAAGCATCGTATCACGACATCTTCAAGACGCCTAAATGTTCGCAAAATTCACCTTTTTGCAACCGTTGTGAAAATGTCATTATTACGTCCTAGTGTTACATATTGATTTATGCAGAAAAATAAACTTAATAATGAATATATATTTTTCTTCTTTTTTTTAATTTTATATTCTTGTAGTTATCCTAGAGTTTAAATATTTTATCATTTCCTGAAAACGATTACGAATTCGTAAGCAGAGTTCGCTTTAATAAATGGGTAAAAGGTTAAAATGATCCACTGCTTCATCAGCGTATCACTCAGTTATAGAACAGCATTTAAAAATGGTATAGCTGAGGAAATGATCCAAGTATGAAGAAACAGGAAGAATTTTACATGCCTCACCAGACGTTATTCGACCTGATAAACCCGTGAGAGTTGTATTTGATGCATCCAGCCATTCGAAAATGATACCTCTTTAAACGATTGTCTCTATTCCGGTCCTAATTTAAATCCACCATTGTAGAGATATTAATACAATTTCGTACACATAGCATAGCATTTACTGCCAACATTGAAAAGCCTTTCTCTGATTTCTCTGTCACCTGAAAGATGTCACCACCACAGATAAGGATGGGAAACCTAACACGAAAATACTTAGGATGACTCGCGTTTTGTTTGGAGCTACATCCAGCCCATTTTTGCTTGCCGCTACTATCAACATCACATAATACCTTTAAGAAACAAATCAGAAAGCCAGTTAAACTATTGAACGAATGTTTATACGTAGACGATTTAATAGGTGGGGATGAAGACGAAAATGAAGCCACTTATATATGAAGATATTAGATATATATGAAAGCTGCTGGTTTCAACATGCGAAAATGGAAAACAAATTGTGGGGAATCTGCAGGAAGTTTGACGACGAATACGAAAAATGGTGAAATCCAGAAAGTTCTGGAAACAGAAGGTATTGGGATATAAATGGAATTACAAGGAAGACCTTCTGAAGATAGAATCACAAAATCTAACTAATCAAGCTCAAGGGGAAAACAAATCTAATGACAAAAGAGAAGTTCTTAAAACCATTGGAAAGCTTTACGATCCATTGGATTTATAAGTCCATTCACTATTAGGGCAAAAATACTAATGCAGGAAATTTGGCAATTTGGGGTAGATTGGGATGATCCCGTTACCATGGACTTTGAAACAGAATGAAAAAATGGATTAATGAACTGTCAGCGATTCAGGATGTAAAAAATTCCGCGACATTACTTCCGAAGACTAACAAGTCTGAATTGAGGAGATATTCAAATGCATGCTTTGCCGACGCAAGTCAGAAGGCATATGGAGCTGTGATATACCTGCGATACGTCACGAGAGCAGTGAAATAGGAAGTAGTTTTGTCATTTCCAAAACCAGAGTAGCTCCACTGAAGAAGCTGTCCCTTCCAAGATTAGAGCTGATGGGGCGCTCATCGGAGCAAGATTAGCCTCGAATGTGAAAGAACAGTTAGAGAGAAGACTCCAGATGAATGTATATTTTGGTCAGACTTCTCTGTTACGTTACATTGGATAAAGGGCGATTTAAGTAAATGGAAGCCATTCATCCAACATCGAGTAATGGAAATACGAGAGAAAACATCACCTGAGTCCTGGAATTATTGCCCTGGAGATGAAAATCCGGCTGCTGAATGCTGACCAGAGGAACAAAGACAAATTCCACGAAAGTAATAACGTTGTCTGAACTAGAAAATAGTGACATGTGGTGGCATGGACCTATGTGGCTTACAGAGCATCGATTCGTGGCCTAAACTTGCAGAATCAGTAAGAGATTTCAAGGATCATGAAGAGCTTTGACTTCGAAGGGGAGCTGAAGTGAACTCAACAGTCACAGGTGAAAAATTCCATTGAGAAAGAATTCATTAAAAGGTATTCGTCATTCAGCAAATTAATTAGAACTACTGCGTGGTGTTTAAGGTTTGCGAACAACTGTAGAACCAATCCACCATTAAGAAAAGAAAGTTTTTTGAGTGCTTCTGAACTACAGAATGCAACAAAGGTGCTAGTCAAATGTGTACAACATTCTGAAATTTCAACCTGAAATTAAGTGCGCAGTCGAAACGATCAGTTCCAAGTAATAGTAATAAAGTTTATTCCTTAAATGTATTTCTGGATGAAGATGAACTTTACGAGTTGGTGGGAGACTACGTTACTCCAATCTTTCAGAAGACCACAAACATCAACTTCTGTTACCCAAAAGACATCATTTCACTGAATTACTCATAGATTATTATCACAAAAAATCTCTTCATCAAACAACACTTTCTCTTATTAGACAATTATACTGGATACCTTCCGGACAAGATAGAGTTAGACGCGTTATAAGTAAATGCATGACGCGCTTTCGAACAAGGAACCAAACCATAAACCAAATGATGGGAGACTTACCTAGAGATAGAGTTGTAATAACTAGACCATTCGAAAAAATAGGACTGAACTTTGCAGGTCCAGTTATCACCAAGCCTAATTTGAAAAGATCTAGGGTTACTTTAAAATCATACGTCGCGATATTTATTTGCTTTAGTACAAAGGCTACTCATTTAGAAGTAGTATCGGATTTGTCTACTGAAGCATTTCTAGCATTTCTTAGAAGGTTTATTGCCAGACGATCCAAACCATCCATTGTTTGGAGTGATAACGTTACGAACTTCAAGAGAAGGAAGAATGTTCTTGATAAACTCCTTAGAATTTGTAGATCCGATCCTATTCAGCGCTTTAGTTCCGAAAATGTATAACATGGAGATTTAATCCTCTTTCTTTCCCGCATTTTATCGATCATGGGAGACTAATATAAAATCAATGAAAAGAATTTTGACAAAGGTCGCGAAAACGACAATTTTAAACTTTGAAGAGCTGTATACATTAATTACACAAATAGAAGCCTGCTTGAACTCTCGACCTCTATCACCTATTTCGGCTGATCCAACAGATCTTCAGCCTTTGACTCCAGGTCATTTCCTAATAGGAGCTCCATTTTTGTCGATAACAGAACCAAATGATTCTGTAGATTCTTTGACCTTGTCTTCTAGATGGACTTTAATTCAAAAACTTAGAGCTAATTTCTGGAACCGTTGGAGCGTAGAATATCTTACTCATTTGCAGAACCGCTCAAAATGGAATCAAGTGAGGTCCAATCTCAAGGCAGGACAACTGGTCTTGTTAAAGGATAAAAACAAGACACCCATGAAGTGGACACTAGCTCGCATCGAGGAAACCTTTCCTGGTGCAGATGGACTAGTACGTGTCGTAGACGTCAGAACATCAGATGGAATCTTTCGCCGAGCCGTCTTCAATATCAGTCCACTCCCATTTCCAAATGATGTTGGACAATCGTCCAACGGGGCCAGTATGTTCCGGTTTGACTAGAAACTTTCACTATGCCGATGTTCCGGTTTGATTAGAAACAAACCTTTCTCTGCCTCAGAATGGCAACAGTGAGAACTTGACTTTTGATTTTTTATGACGCAGCTAGAACGCTGCTCATGAGATGTAACATTAGATTCGATTCTAGGTTCTAGATTAGATTAATTTTAGTATTTTAATTAATCCTTTTAAAACTAGATTGAGTATTTGATCATAGAATTATAGCTGAACCACCGCTTGCAGAAATTTAGATAAGGCATTTAGATATGTCATTAGATTCATAGTTAGATGCGTAGGCAGCGACATTCGTGATTCGATTAGTGTACATTAGTGCGTACATAAACAAATATTTCATGGAAATGCTAATATTTCCTTAAGACTAGTTTTTTGATCATACATTTCATACACTGTTTAAAATCATTAACCTTTTCTGCATACTGTACAAAAGACAATATACTATAGAATGTGCATTATTATTAATTTTAATAATTAGTTAATTGCTTATATTATACATATATCTAATTCATCTTCAGCAGTCATATTAAGGACTGGTAGCAGTCCAATAATTTCTTTGTATTTTTGAAAATAATGAACATACCATAACAGCTTGAATTGTTGTTGCTTCTGTATTGATTGCATTTTCAGCAAAACCAGAAAGTGGCTTATCGTTGTATGTTATTTTTGGTTTTATATGAATTAATTCTGATAGCCAACTTTTCAATATGAATACAATAATTGATTAATATGAATGATATGCAATATAGCACTTAGGACGTTATAACTGAAGCACAAAGCTAATAAAGGTATTCAAATATTGCACCGCTGGAATCACAGTGATTGGAGACAGACACTATTTCCACAGAGACACTATTTCACGAACACTATATTCCACAGACCACTATAGACCAAAGATACACTATTTCACGAACACTAGATTCACGATTAGCATTGTAGCATTTCTTGTAGAGCAGATATTCACACACAAAATAAGCACACAAATTTAGCATTCTCACGATGATTTCTTCTCAATTCAGAGGCTTCCAAACAGGAGCTCACAGCAATGGAATTTCACTTGCTGAAGGCAGTTGAAGTAAGTAGATAAAGAACAATGTGAAGATTCACAATGCGTTCTTTGATTGGCAGTGCATTACATTTACTTTTAATATATATAAGCAATATTATTTATATCAGTCATTGCTGGATTCAATTTCAAACATGAAGTCAGTCTTTTGAAACGCTTTACAGATGGCCTCTTTACCAAATTACTTGAAAGAACTGATAGAATCTCAATTAATTGTGCAGTTGTTTAACAAGTTGGCAGCTAGCCAAAGCGCGCAAATCTTGAGATGTTCGTTTATATAAGCAACCAGTAAATAATGTACAGGTCTGCTTCTCCTCACTGTTGATGAGTTTTCCGTTATATATATATTGGTTCCGTTATATATATCAGAAGGGTTTAATTTGAATGAAATATTTTCACAAGTTTGAGTTAATTACATTAGAAAAAAATTAAGGTAATTCGATTTTATTCGGTTAAGGATTGCAAAAATTAAGATCAAAGTTTATTGTATTATTAATATTAAAATTATACATTATTTCTTTTCTATTTATACAGCTTCTTCCTTAAATACTCTCTCAAATGTGACATGATATTTTAACTTCTGAGGCATGTTTAAATCGAAAAATCTAAGTCAATTTATAATTAATTCAGTCCATTTCAAATTAGAACACCTTTTATTTTAATTACGAAATACGTTAAATATTACTTAAGTTTCTCTGAATATCTCTGAAAGGGAATTAGAAAAAAGTTTTTTTTTTTTTTAAATATCCTTTAAAACTTGTAACTGAGTTATTATACAATTTAAGGGGAATAATTCTTTTAATTATACTTATCAGATTTTTTACCCTTAATTTGAACAAAAATTAATCTAAAACTCTTCTTTATTACTTAAGTACGCGTCTCATAGAATTTGCTTTGCAATACCTTTTAACAGATTGCTTTCCAGTACGAACAGTTCTTGTTTAAATACTTCTATAACATATTTCTCAACAAGATTTAAATTTATGTTTACAATTCAATGTTAATGTTATTATATCTTTAGATAATATTTATAATCATTATAAATTTAGATACATTTAATAATTAGATTTCTTCACAGTAACTTTCACAGGTGTTTATGAATGAATAAATCCTTCATTTCAAAAACATTTATAAATAATTTAATAAATATTTACGTATTTTGTTAAAGGCAGATACATGCTTTTTGAAAGCATATGCATCAATAACCATACATATTTCCTATTTTTCATTTCCGCCATGTACAAATCTTTAATTTCTGTGCATTCACTATATTTTTCGAGTAAAGTAATTTACAATACTTTAGCATATACCCAAAATTTTTACATAAGAAATATGTATAAATATAATTTGTATGAAAATTACATGCATTACTTTTAATACCCACTCAAAGGTCAGTTTTCTTCGAAATTCTTCCACGATGACATCTCTTCCTATAGGCTCCCTTGCATGCTTTACTCTATTTAATAAAAACTAAACCTGACCTAATTACAAATATTTTAACATGCATAATTTTATATTTACATTTAGCCACCAAGTTTCATTTTGACTTAAAACACATTTTAGGATGTATTCATCATCAAATTCAAATCTTCTAGTAAATATATTTTGGCAGAGCACTCAATACCTCTTTTAGCGATTTTACACAGTTTAATAATTCTCTGATAATATAATAAATAAAAATTAATAAAATACTTGCGTGGGAAATATTTAATCAATCTGAAATCAATAAGAGGACCGTTCATGATCGGACCTTCTTTGGCAGGATACACAAATGTTTTCACCTCCGTCGATTACCTTATTTTCAAATTCCATCGTTAAGACATATGCTGTCTTGATGATGTAGCACGTTCACATGGTCATATGGTACTTTAACCGCACATGGTACTTCCGCCGATTTCGCAAATGTATCCGACTTCTTTTCCATACGTTTATGTAAAACTGTACATAATTTTACACAATGTGGTTACAAATCAAGGAAACGTTAACTTATTGGCACATCTGTGTGTATATTTATTAGTTTTGACGAGTATTGCAGTATTTGGTGGTAATTGTATTTTTTAATTACTCCAAGTAAGTAAAATGCTTTAAACCCAGAGTGAGTATTTTCAAGTTATATAAAAAACTGACAAGTTTAAAATGAGCAACTATAAAGCCTCTCATCTAAAACATTTTAAAAAAGTACATGTCACAATAATATGTGGATGACAAAAAATTATTTTATTTAAAACATTTTGGCGTTTGGAACATAAAATAAAAGTAGCCACTACTCTATAAAGGGTATCGAAAGACGTACAAAATTTTAAAGGTATCGTAAGATATTTTTCATTCTTTTAAGCATAACATTTTCCCTAAAATCTACATTTTTGTAGTTCAACGGATTAGAATTTTGTAAAACAAATTCATAATCAAAAACGCTGTTGTTAGTTATCGAAAAATTATCATGATGTGATTTTTGCGTAAATGTCACTAAACTACACAAATTGCTATTATCCATCAATGAATGTTTCTTTTATGAGGAAATGTCCCGTTTTTCGATTTGTATAGAACTGTCGTGTGTCGAAATACTATCGAAGCACCGTCAAGGGAGTTTCTGAATGTAAACAAAACACACCCATTTGGTGACCGAAACTTCGGAGTAGTGCTTCACTCTTATTGCTGAGCTGGCCACTCCATCCTTTCCTACCTCCATGCTAGAATCAGATGGAAAGGATCACCATAATAGAAATGTTTCGAGCAGTTCCTAAAATTGTAGTTTTCTTCAATCTTTTCTAGGAAAAGGAATATTTTCCAATCCCTTAAAGGACGCTGAAGTAGCCCTGTTAACCCAAATAAGGCGGCTGAACGATACTGCCTTCCTGCTACAGACGGACATCTTTATGTAAGCTTGACAGACTTATCCTTGGCAAACTGCAGCATCACCTAGGACGACTTCTAGTAGATCACGCGCTGTGTATCTAAAGAAAATCAGAGACAGCAATCTTGCAAAGGATTACTGTCTCTAAAAGTACACGGCTGTGATCTCGGTTGACATCAAAGAGAGCTTTTCACGACCTTTGGTGGCCTGATATACTCGTCTTGTTGGACCTTCCGGGTGTTAGTAATGATTTTATTCGAATAGTTAGCAGCTATCAGCCACACAGAACATTAAGAGTCACCACAGTTGGAGGCATCCTCAGAAAAGACATAGATATAGGCTGCCAATAAGACTTGCACCGTGGTCCAACTTTGTCGAACGTATTAGCGAATGGGGTGCTTAATCTACTGAACAGTCTCAGTCGGAATATACATGTACAAGACAACAACCAACGAGTAATAATAGTAGGCATCCTTGTAATAGTAGGAATGAGTACCAAAAGATTAGAGATAAGGGTAAATGAAGCTCTAGACTGTCTCGCAAACTGGTGCTGCTCTCAGCATAAGCTTACGCTCCAGCATGAAAAAACCGTTTCTATAATAACTGGAGATCATAAAAAGTTAATCATACCTCCAGGCTGCAGAACAAAATGGAAAATTTTCAAAAGAAACCCAGCATTGCACCTCAACCCACACTTTCGGAGCCGACATTATAGGGTGTATATAGTTCTTACGATTACCTACACTAAGCGGAGATGTGCAAAAATGATTTATTTCAAAGAAACATATTCTCAAAACTAACTTAATGAATACAAATATTTCTAAATTAAAGAATACAAATAATGATCTAACTAATGACTAATCTAACTTAATGAATACAAATATTTTAATACATTAAAAATAATTTACTACTACTATGGACACATTTTTCTTCTCCGACTATTCTAATATATTAAACAACAAATCGTTTTTATAAAATACTAATACTTTTATTTTTGTTGCAAAGTTTCTTCTACAATATATAACATTCCTAGACTTTCAGAATTCAT